AAAAATTTTTTAAAAAGCGAAATGTGACTTAGACCCTTTTTGTTTGTGACGTCTTTAGTTATGTTCCAGAGGTTACTAGCCCTTGGCTTGGGTCATCATGCTACCGATTCTGAATCAAGAAGCAAGCTCTTCCAAAAATTCAAACCGAGACAGATACAAGCATTAGTATGCAGCTTATAATGCATTAAACGCTACCAAGGCGAAGTAGAATACTGTCAAATTATGTTTGGGGCCGTACAAACAATGTGGCGTTATCGTTTTATTTTGTTTTGTTTTGTTTACAACCTTGTTATCTACTATGATGTAGGCCAGTTCTTTATGAATCAATCTGTTTTGCTCCGTAACGGTATGAGTGTCAGGGAAAGACACCCAGCAAAATACAACAGTGAAATGAAAGAAAAAAGGAGAGCAGATATGAGCGTAGGTATGCCCGCTCGCGCATACACAAACAGATACATACTACATAAACACACATACATAACCATGTACATAAATACGTAGATACATACTCACAAAGTACACAGATGTACACAAACATACACTTACGTACACACGTGTATAGATATACAGAACCCTTGACAGAACCACATACACACGTATACAAACAAATACACATATATATATATATTTTTATATACGAACAATACACACATACAAAGATAAGTTAAATACGTACACGCATACGGACCCAAACGTACACGAGCCCAAATAAGAACACACACGTCATACACCCACTCGAGCATACACACATACAGACATAAACACATACACAGACACGCATTCTCATATAAATATATTTATTACACACGCAGAGAAACACAAACAAATGTACAAAAACCACTCACGTACGCATGGTTTCGTGAATGCACATATTATACGCAAATGCATATATACACATATGCCCACACACATATTACATTCATACGCATATATACATACAAATAAACGCAAACCCATATACAGGGACATACACATATATACTCACATACACATATTATACATTTACATATGAACACAGAGAAATGACATACAAACTCAGGCACCCACGCACTACGCGCGCGCGCGCGCACACACACACACTAACACACACACACACACACACACACACACACACACACACACACACAAACATACACACATACACCTAAACACACACACACACAAACACAGGGACACACACACACACACACACACACACACCCGCACACAGCCACACATAACAGTATCGCCCCACTCAGTACCTCTTTAGCTTTTGGAATACAGTTTGCCATCCTGCAGACCACTCAATGGCTTGACCTTTGCCCCCAGCGTGGGCATGGAGTGGATTTACCAAGTCAGCAAAAATGACATGTGGGATGAAATGCTGATATTAAGTCATCGTTCAATTAAAACGTTGTAGTTTGGTGCAGTCGGTAAAAGAGGCCCGACCAACCACTTTAAGTACCCAGGTGCAACGACGTACCCTCATTGTGTTCTTGTCTGTAAACTAATGTGCATACAGGTCCTTTTAAAAAAAAAGTTTTCGTATGAGTTTTACGGCACTTGCAACTGAGTAAGGTCATATAAGTGCCGATACAGGTCCTACGTCACTAAATCGCTATAGTGTTCACTTATTTGTTCTTTCAGACTTTTCGCTGCAGTCAAGAGCTGACTTACTGAAGGAATCGGTACCAGAAACCAAGAGAGGGAAAAGATCAGGAAAAAAACATGGCAGATTTCGAAGAGTTTTGTGGAGGTCCTCTATGGGTAGGTGTTGCCGTTGTTACGTCTGCATTGTTCTGACTCTGGTAACTCTATGAGATGATTATTTTTAAAATGTGTAATTTTTAGACATCTCGTACAAAAACCATGTTTCAAATGCTGAAGTACGAAAGAGAATCACCAACGCAGTGGGGCAATATGAAGATCTACTGACCACAG